GGGAGCGGCCACTGCACTCCAGTCTGGGTAACAGATTGAGACTCCAACTCAAAAAAAAAAGATTAATAGCAGAAACAACAGCCAACAGCATAGATGTCTCACCTGGTTCAGCTTACACAATTCCAGCTGAGACATTAAGGGTGAGCAAATTTTCCACTTGATGGGTGCCCGAATGTCATGCCCAGATCAGCTGCAGACAAGAGCAGAGTTTTTTACAGAAACTTTAAACCAGTGGGGTCAAGACCCCGAAGCATTTCTTCAAAGAATCTTAACATGAGGTGAATGCAGCCTTACCAGTGTGATCCCAGAGACAGATATAATCACAACAACAGCTACCAAGAACTGGAAGCGGTCCAGTTGATGCAGAAGTGATGGTCAAGAGCAAAGGTCATGACACCTGTTTTTTGGGGTTGCTTGAGGCATTTTGCTTGTTGACTTTCTAAAAGGCCACAGAATGACAATGTCTTGTGATGAGAATGTTTTGAGAAAACCACAGCATTAGCAGAAAAACATCAGGGGAATCTTCCCCAGGGTCCTTCTCCAAAATGACAGGCTCCTGCTTGTCCCTCTCATCCAAGAAGGGCAATTTTAGAAGAGTTTCGATGGGACGTCATTCAGCATCCACCTTGCAGTACTGATCTGGCTCGTTCTGACTTCTTTTTGTTTTCCAATCTTAAAAAACCCAATCTAAATCTTAAGAAATCTGTAAAGGGCACTGATGTTTCTTTAGTTAAAAATGTAAAAAAGCCGGGCTCAGTGGCTCAGCCTGTAATCCCAGCGCTTTGGGAGGCCGAGGTGAGTGGATTGCCTGAGCCTGCGGGTTCGAAACCTGCCCCCCGGGCCAGTTGGTGAGACCTCACCTCTACAATAAATTAAAAAAAATTAGCCGGGCATGGTAGTATGTACCTGTAGTTCCAGCTACTTGGAAGGCTGGGGTGGAAGGATCGCTGGAGCCCAGCAGGTCGAGGCTGCGGTGGCCGGGAGCATTCCACTGCCCTCCAGCCTGGGCGATAGTGTGAGACTCCAACTAAAAAAAAAAAAGTAAAAAAGACTGCATTGATATGGTTAAAGTTCCAGGCCCTTCATTGCTTTAGAGACAGACTCAATGACTGGCGTCATCACTTACAAAAGCGTTTTGAACTTGGTGGAGCTTATGTTGAGACATAAAGTTTATATTTTTTATTTTTATCTTTTAATTACATTTTCTCAAAAGCTTTTTGAAGCCCCCTAATATGTTCTCATTTCTCTTGGGTATCTACCTTGGAGTGAAATTGCTAGGTCATATGGTAAATTCTACATTTAGCTTTTTTTTTTTTTGAGTGGGGAGTCTCACTCTGTTGCCCAGGCTAGAGTACAGTGGCATAATCATGGCTCACTGCAGCCGTGGCCTCCCAGGCTCAGGTGATCCTCCCACCTCAGCCTCCTGAGAAGCTGGGACCAGAGGATCTCACTATGTTATCTAGACTGGTCTCTAACTCCTGGGCTCAAGCAAACCTCCTGCCTCAGCCTCCTGATGTGCTCGGATTACGGGTATGAACCACCATTCTGGGCATGGGCTGTTGCTTTTCAAGGCTTTGCAGAGGTAGCGACTGGGAGACGGGACTAGAATAAGTTGAAGATCACAGAGTTTGCTGTCCTGCCTGAGAGCTGGCTATTTCCTGGCTTAAATGCTCACTGAGTTACTGCAAGCCTTTGATTAAAATTAAGAGTTCCAAAAAAAGTGTATTCTTTTTTTGGGGGTGGCGTTTTTTCTTTGTTTTTGTGAAGTGGTGTACTCTCAGAGGTCCTTCCTCTGCCATTTTCACTTTCCTAATTAATATTTAAATTTAAGTCTATTTTTAAAACTTGGGAAAGAGGATATTTGGGTCTTCCACAATATGACTATAAAATTCACATTTACAGTCACAAATAATTAACAAATAATTGAAAGTAACTTAAAAATCTCTTAAAAGTGAAATAATTCAAGAATAGCCTCACTTAGGATTGAAGCATATCTTAAAACTGCAGTTACCAAAACAGTGTTGTACAGGCAATAAATAGATCAATGGAGAACAACCAAAAGCCAGAAAAAGAGCCAATACATATGATAATTTAGTGAATAATACCAATTGCAATGCATATCAGTGGGGAAGAGATTTTTAAAGTGTCAGAAAAATTTAGCTGAATTCTTATCTAACTTCTTATAGCAAAATAGAATTCAGATGTATCAAAGGGTTAAGTATAAAAGAAAATTATTAAAAATACAGGAAAATTTGGAACTATAACAAAATAATATTGGAGTAGATACAGCCATTCTGGAAACAACTCCAATACCTCTCAAAGTAAAATGGATACAAAGATGAGGTATATTCCTACATCAGAGTAATACACAACAATGAAAATGAATGGATCATGTATAACAACATGCTTGAGTCTCACAAACTAATGAGGAGTTAAATAAATAAGGTGGTAACGAATATTCTGAGAATCACAATGTGTGATTCTAATCACACAGATTTAAAAATGAGCAAAATAAGCTATATTTTTAGAGATGCACCCAAATGTAATAAAATTGTAAAGAAATGAAAAAAAAAAAGATAAAATTCCGGACAGTGGCTACCTCTGGGCTGATGGTAGTACTGTGAATGGGGAAGGAACACATGGGATAATGGCAATGCTTGTGGATAATGGCAATGCTCTAGTTCTTGACTTAGTTGCTGGTATTATAGGTGTTTATCTGGTAGTTAATCACAAAACTATTCATGTAGGTTTATGGACTTTCCTAAACGACTGTTATATTGCACCACAAGAGAAGCAAAATTATACAGGGGACGTAGTTTGTGGTCTAATATTAGGCATTATATCTTGGTAACATTTTTATTTTGAGGATATTTACGAGAATATTTTTAAACCCTTCTTCCCAAACTTCTCTAAATTCACAATTTCTAATGGTAGAGGGGTCTCGCTCTCTCTTTTCTCAAGGGATTCTGCAGTCCCTTTTAGGAAATGCTATAATATCAATAACTAATCATATGAGAGAGACGTTCTGGAAAGTCCTGTGGTCAAATGACTGCTATCAAAATGTCCTTCCCCTGTTTGGGGGAAAACCAGGATACACATTTCTTTTGGAACAAACTAGATCTCACTTCTAGGTTTATAGAACGCCGACCTCCATTCCTGGGCTCGTAACATTTGATTTCTTGGCCACTGGTTAGGAATGATATTACTCTTTCAAGGCTGTTGTGAGGATAAAATAAGGTACTAAATGTTGACTATGATGGATTTTGGTGAAACAAGACAAATCACAGCCTCCATGGCTGCTCTGGAACCAGATAATAACGCTCCTTCATTCCACAAACATGAGGGGAAACGGTTTGGAGGGTTTGCTGTGGTTGTCTGTCTGAAGCCTGTTGCTCTCACTGTTGACGCTTCCCTTTTGTAATGATGCACCCTCACCTTTCCCCCTGTACCCCAGGACATTCGTGTATGCTCTGCTTACCCGAGGGAGGCCTTTTCCTCTTATAATACTTTTCAAAGGTGTTGCCTTCTGTATCGGAAATGGATTCCTTCAAGGCTACTATCTGATCTACTGTGCCGAATACCCTGCTGACTGGTACACAGACATACGGTTCGGCTTGGGTAAGTGAATCTGAGCCCCTCTTACCCACTCCCTGGTGTCCACATCATGATCACCACTCCCTACCCTGCCACCATGATGATCTGGTCTCCCCTCTCTCACCTCCACTCTGGTCTTTTCTCTCCGTGGCAACCAGAGAGAGTGTTGAAACGTACATCATGTCATTTCTCATCTCCAAACTCACCAATAGATTTCCACTACTCTCAGGATAAAGTACAAGAGCTTTACCATGGGCTACAAGACTCACATGTTTTTGGTCTTTCTGGTTTCCCAGCTTTTCTTCCTGCCTCTCTTGACCTCCCTTCCTGTGCTGTAGTCTTAGTGTCAGACATCGTCAAACTTGTCCTGCATGACATCCCCCTCTGCCTAGAAGGCTCTGCCCTGATATATTTATGGCACTTGACTCCCCCTTTTTATTTAGGTCTCTACCAATGTGTACCTGCAAAGAGACTTTTCCTGAACCCCTATTTAAAATAACAGAAGACACTAATCATTTAATTTTTTTTTTTTTTTGAGTTGGAGTCTCACTCTGTT